CTAAAATCAGCTCCTGAAAATATTTAACTATCTGAAGACCTGTTCTGCCAGTTTTTCCCAGAGCATAGAGCGCCTCCTTCCTGCTCTCCACCCTGAACTCCTTTTAGGGGGTGTTGAAGGTCAGCAGCTGTGGCAGCATGTGATTTAACTCGTTGCAGAGGTAGATAGGTAATCAGTTCAGTTCAGTCGCTCAGGCTCAGTTGTATCCGACTCTTGTGACCCCATGGGCTGCAGCAGGCCAGGCTTCCCTATCACCAACTCCTGGAGCTTGCTCAAACTCAAATCCATTGAGTTGGACATGAGACAGCTAGATGGTCGCTGCCAACTTGTAGTTGACAATATTCCCATGGGGTGAAAGGTGAATGGTAACCACGGGTGATGGGACAGACTGGTGGGGGGCACGCACTTAGTTCAGGGTGGGTGGACGGTCCCCTCGGTGAGCTGTAATGACCAGAATGAAGCAGCCTGAGAAGATGCAGGGGAAGAAAGTGTCCCCAGATCCAGATGCTGGTAGAGCTAAGCTCACCCACAATCTGGCCCCAGAGCTTGCAATCCTAGCCCAGCACAGCTGGCTGGGGTCACTTGCCCCGCTCACCAAAATATCCCGAAGATATAGTGACTCTTCAAAATGATGGAAGAATTAGAAGGAAACAGGAAATGCCCCAGAATATTTGTCTAACCTTATCAGCTGGGCAAAATCCCCAGAAGCAGCAAAAAAAAAGTTTCACTGAATTTGACCATGTGGAGCTGGTGGGCCCTCCTGTGGCTGCAGGTGATAATGATACGTCAGTTGTCAGTTGTAACCAGTAAATGTTACTAGTGAGGGAGATGTGGCTGTGTAGGGGGAGGTGACTTCTGATCACCTTGACCTGCCTTCAGCAAGAATCCTAGCTAGCTAGTTTATCTAGAACCGTCCTTGACCCGTGATGTTTTTTTCTCCTTAGTAATTTTCCATCCATCGTGCTTCCAACCCACTTTGGCTATAACTTTCCACTTTTCCCTGTTGCATTTGGAGTTGAGCCCAATCTGTGCCAAAACCATCCTCGCTTTTTGGTGGTCCCTAACTTATCCTGATAGTCCTGAACAAAGTCTGCCTTACCATTTTAACAAGTGTCATGAGTGATCTTTTCTTTAACAATGGTTGGCTTTATAAATGCTTTAGAAAGCTTATTCTGCCTGCTGCAAAGAAAATTGGAGCGTGGGCATGGATGTTAGGGGGAAGGTACAGCAATTGGGTGGAGGCTGCTGCTCCTGGTGAGATGGGAGAGGCTCAGGTCATGGGGGGAAGAAATAGGTACAAGTGGGCGGACATGAGACACACTCTGGAGGGAGGAGTCTCCACTCACACCTGCCTTAAGCTCTTTCCTGGCTGCCCTCAGTCCCTAATCGAGACCCTTGAATTTAGCGCATTCTGACCCCACGCTCCCTTTTCTCTCTCTCTTAGCCCCACCACACTCCTTCCCACCTCAGGGCCTTTGCACATGCTCTCATCACTCTCAGGAATGTCCTTTTGTCTGTTTAATTCCTGACCTTCTGGAAGTCGTAATCACTGGACTACCTGGTAAATCCTGGGGAAGTTTTAAGCTAAGGGTACATGCCTATTCATGAAGGGGCTTGAGAAGAGGAGAATACTGCATCAAATTCGGGCAAAGGTCAACAGAGGCCAAGTTTTAGTTGATAGATATCGGGAAGGTCAACATCTTCATACCTTTGAGGAGGTGTCTGTTTTATGGCTGAATTGTTTCTTGACTGTTTTTTCCCTTGTTCCTGCGTTCCCTCACTTCCCTAAAAATCATTAATACCCATCCCGGTTAAAGAACAAACACTGTGGCTAGGCTTCAGATCACAAACAGTTTAGGCCAAAACTAGCTTCTCTTATGTCAAGGAAGCATGCTGTGTTCTTCTGCAGGGAACCCCTAACCTGACCACACAAGAGAGGCAGGGAGAGTTGGTGGGTTCCAGGAGGGACCCCTGTGCCACCCCAGTCCCTAGGCCCTGTTGTCCCAGACATTTAAGAGTATCCCTCCCCGCATGCCGCCCCTCAGCTACCAGCCGGAGCCTCCATCCAGGGTTGACCTTCCTTTCAGGGGCTGCTCTGACCCGCTGGGTGTGAGGAGGTGGGTCACCTGTCTTGCCTCGGTTTTCTCTCCTGTAAGATGGGAGTAAGTTCATTTACCTGCAGACACGGAGGACTCAAGGAGCAGAGACTAAAAACAAAACAAAAGGAACGAAATCAGTTCTCTCCGTTTCGTTGTTGTTTTTTCTTTCTTTGCATTTTTTTGGTTTGCTTTTTCTCCCTTCGGTCTCTCTCTTCATCCCTTCTCGTCATTCTTGTATCTTTTTCTTTCTGCTGAAACGGAGGAGGTGCCCGGGGCCCATCCGGATTCTGGAGCGAAGGTCGAGTTGGGGACCAAATCCGACGCCGTCGGCGTGNTGGCAGCAGCCCGAGGGATTTGGCGCGGACGTCTGATTGCTTGTCCCGCCTGGCCACCTGTTTTCTTGGTGCAGAAAAAAAACCCTCTTCTCCTCCTCCTGGGCCCCCACCCCCACCCCTCCCCTTGCTTTCGCTGGATGGAGCTGGATGGGGTGACTCGCGAGGCGCTGGGGCGAGGCGCGCGGGGCGGGGGCGCCGCTCGGGGAGGTGGAGCCAGCCCCCAGCCAGGCCTGGCCGCGCCAGCTGCGGGCTCGGCGGTGGGACTGCTGCCAGGCCTGGCGAGGAGGTTGGGGAGGGAGCGGGGACATCCTGGCGCCGTGCGATTGGCCGCCTCTAGGGAGGAGGAGCCACCGGGCGCTCACCCGGGGTGTTTGCGTCTGGATGGGGGGGCCCCCGGAGGCTGTGCAGAGAAACTTCACCCGCGCCCACGGGCTCCCTCCCTGCCGGCCTCATTGGCAGCCCAAGTTTTCAGGCCGGAAATGCAACGGTTTTTTATTTTGATTTCTAAAAAGGAAGCCCCCAACAGCTTATCTGGGGTTGGAGTGGATGTATGTATTGGGAGTGGGGTGGGGGGCCGGATTTCAGTCCCCTCCAGGCACGATCTCCGTTCCCACAGGCGGGAGGGTCTCACTGCAACATAGAAGGCTTCTCTGAGCCTCCGTTTCCTCATTCGTAGACTGGGGATGTAAGTTTCCCCACACACACCATAACGGGGTGTGTGAGAATAAAAGGAGATAGCTGACCCAGGACTGGGGCGCGGGAGCTTTAGCTACTGTTACATTTTTTACTTGCTTTTTAAAAATATATATGTATTTCTTGGTCTCTTCATTCACAGTCTTGCCCCTCCAATATTCTTCTCTACCCTGAACGCAGGGGGAACTTGTAAAAACAGATTCAAATCAACCCGGAGCTTAAAATCGCCTATTGATGTCCTCGATGTCGTTTCAGTCCCAAACTCTTCACCAGAATTTTCTGTTATCTCCCTCCCCCAGCCAGACCGTCCCAGCCCCTTTCTGGCACCCGCCCTCCCTCCCTATCCCTGAGCCTGTGCCCCTGCAGACCCCTCTGCCAGGAATGACTTCCTCACGGCCCCTGTAGGGCTTGAAGCAGGCGCCCCTTCCTCGGGGCCAGGGACCTTCTCCAAACCCCCTCTATGCTCGCCTTTCCCGGGCGGCCTTGATGGCCGCGGGTTCTCAATGCTGCTGTCTTTATCTCCCTCCCCGGAGCCCCAACAGAGCAGAAACAGGGCCTGTAGCATCGCGAAGCCCGGCCCCGAGTAGATGCTCTAAGACCTGGGCCAGGCCCATCGCCGGGCTCTGAGGCCTGGGCGGGGAAGAGGGAGGCCCCCTCGGGAGAGGAACGGTCTTTGTCTCACCGAGTGGCAAAGTCAGGGCATTCAGGGCATTCGGTTTGTGTCCCATCAGCAGAGACGGACGTGGGAGGGATTATTCTAGACGGCCGGAGCCTGGCAGTGCTACCATTAGCGGCTCGACTATTGTTGCCTGAAGCCGTTGTATCTGGCACCCTCCTGTACAACACCCTCCGTCCGCCGGGCTGGGAGGCTACACCAGGACCGTCCCATTTGACAGATGGGGAGACTGAGGCAGGGAACGGGGAGGTCGCTTGCGGGGGCGGGGGCTGGTCATAGAGGGAGCGGAGAGCACAGTTAGGCCTGAGACTCAGGTCTGATCGAAGCCCTGGATGGAGGCGAAGATGGAATACAGGAAGGCTGGAAGTGGGGGCGATGGGATGGGGATGCAGAATCGGCCTCGAGTTACCCACAGGGGCTTGGGCGCTTCCCAGGCCCGGAGCCGGGCGGGCAGGGCACGCTAACGGCAGGGCTGTGACGGAGGGCGCCTCGGCTTCCCGGTCGCTGGTCCTCGGGTTTCCGGCCTCTTCCCAGCACTCCGGGGCGGCCGAGCAGTTCCCGGCTGGGCTCGCCCCCCACCCCCACCCCATCCCCGGCGCAGCGGAGAGGAATGCGGCTCCAGCCCGCCTCGGGGCTCTTTTCGTGAACCTCTTCCTGCTTCCTGGGACCCCGCTGTCCCACTGACCCGTTCGGCCCAAGCGCCCCCAATCTGCGGGGTTGGGGCTCGGTTGGGCGGGAGGTGGAGAGGGGAAGGGCGCGTCTCTGCCTCGGTTTGCAGGTGAGGCGCCGAGGTGGACTAGGGTGACTGTGACTCATTTGGTGCCCCCTTATGCTGGCTAAGAGGTGGGCCGGGCCAGTAACGCTATCACCAGTACTACTCGGTATCAGTCTTGCCTTGCTGGGGGGAGCGCCTGAGAAATGCAGAATGTGGGACCCCATACCTGTCTTAGGAAAGTGTTCTGTCCTGTTCCCATCGTGTGGCCTGGAACTCATTCTCACCTGCCAGCAGGGTCCTGGCCCCCTGGCTAGGAGGTATCTGAACACGGTACCCTGCCCTGGCCTCCCCCATCCAGAAACCCAGGGAAGGCTCCACACCCCATTTTTCAGAGTAGGCTTAATGAGACCTGGCTTTGCTGCCAGGCTGAGAAAGAAGCTCAGTTCTTTCTCCCACCCCTATCTTCCTGCCCTCAAGGGCCTGAAAGCTACCAAGAACGGAGGAGCCTTGTGAAATGAGCTGCAAACGTCTCACTAAAGTGTAAATGACCGAAAGCACTGCCAAGGATCCCTTCCTGGAGTCAGCAACTGGTTACGTGGCTTCAGACAGACTTGTCCTTATTTATTTATTTTGGCTGTGCTGTGTCTGTTGCTGCGCGGGCTTTTCTCATTGAGGTGAGAGGGGGCTACTCTGGTTGTGGCGCAAGGAATTCTCATTGTCGCTTAGCTTCTCTTCTTGTGGAGCACACGCTTTAGGGGACTGGGGCTTCAGCGGCTGTGGCTCCCGGGCTTTAGAGCACCGGCTCAATAGTTTTGGTGCATGGGCTTCGTTGCTCATCTGGACCAGGGATTGAACCTGTGTCTCCCGCATTGGCAGGCAGACTCTTATCCACTGAGCCACCAGGGACGCTTCAGACTTGCCCTTGGTGTGACTGGTAGGGCTTGAGGGCAGGAAGGCAGGGGCTCCGCAGGACTGGGTGGGTCTCCAGTCCCTGGATGTGTGGGTTGGTGGAAGAGGGGCTGGGAAGACCAGAGCCTGGTGCCCAGCTGAGCTCTGTGAACCTTCCTGGAGGACCCACAGGGCCTGTGGGAAATTCCCAGGCTATTTTGGGCTGAGGCCCCCTTCTTGCCCTTTCCCAGGGTAAAGGCCTTGCTGGTGCCGGGGGCGGGGTGGCTTCCTCCACCCCTCCCTGCCCAGTCCATTGGTGTTCATATGTATGCACACACTTGTGTGCCTGGCTTCACTCTCATGCATGTGCACACGTACACACCACATTCACAGCCACGCACATATACACATGTGCATGCACTCATGCAGACACGCTCAGCAGCTGTGACAGGCCTTGGGCAGGACACCTGGTCTGAATTTGCTGCAGGCCTGAGGCCCATCTCTGGTCTGGCCTAGAGCCTCAGCCTGAGGCGACCCTCTGCAGACTGCCGGCCGCTGTAAGGAGTGGATGAAGCTGTAGGGAGGTGAGAGGCCCTGGAGCAGGGGCTAGTAGGGTGGGCCCTGCTTCCTCCAGGGCCAGCTTCCCCCTGGCGTTGCTGCACACTCAACCCCCCCATCTGTGTTTGTTTGGGGGTTGGGGGCAGCAGACCCCAGAGCTGGCTCCTAGGTGACTGGCTGCTCCCTCTGCCAGCTGGTTTCCTTATCGCTGGACTTTAACCCATGCCTCCCCACACTGAGGCTCTTCACTCCTCCCTGTCCCCGCCCCCCACCCCCGCAGGCCAGGGGTGGGGGGTAGTTGGCTCCGGTCCAGGTCTACCCCCGCCTCAGCTGTGCTTTGCACGGATGGCCCTCTGAAGGCAGGCAGGGTGGTGGTTGAAGCCCCTGCGTCTCCCAGGCCGGCAGCTCCCTTCCCCGACTCCCTCCTGGAGGCTCTGCGGCCCTCCATGCCTCAGTTTCTCTCACTGCCAAGTGCGCATGCGCGCAGCCCCACCACATGAACGCCAGTGGGGGCTGCCAGTCCTGAGGCTGGTCAGGGGGACCCTGCTCTGTCCCAGCCCCAGTGCTGGGGCCCAGGACTTGGAGGGACCCCGTGTTGCCCTCAGGTTGCTCTGTCCCCAAGCCGGCGGCTTCTATTGGCATCTCTGCGGGACTGGGTGTCCTGGGAGAGTCAAAGGGGCTGGGGAGGAGAGAGAAGGGGACCCCAGTTGAGACCTGCTTTAGGGGGAGTGGGCATGGCAGGGGCCGGGGGACAGTCAGACAGATGGACATGGGCAAGAAGAGTGGAGACCTGTGGGGACGATGATGATGGCCTAGTTCCTGAGCTGGACTGCCCTTCCACCCATCCATCTGCCTCTCACCGCTCCTTCCCCAGTGACCCCCCCAACCCCCAGTCTCCTTGCTGGCCTTTAGTCACACCTGCCTCTGCCAACCTCAGGGCCTTTGCACAGGCTGTTTATCACACTGGAAGAGCCGCCCTCTGTTTTACAAATGGCCCACTCTTGTTTGTTTGTTTGTTTATGAGTTTTGTAGTGCATGGACTTCTTGTTGCAGAGCCTGGACTCAGTAGCTGTGGCTCATGGGCTTAGGTGCCCCATAGCATGTGGAGTCTCCCTGGACCAGGGATCAAACTGGTGTCCCCTGCCCTGGCAGGTGGATTCTTAACCACTGGACCACCAGGGAAGTCCTGCTGTCTTCTGTCTCTACTGCCATAAACAGGTCCTGCCATCAGGCGCGTGTTTGTTGAATGACTTTATGATGACGGTTATAACAATTGTAGCTGATCCTTAAATGCTCACTTGTTCTGGGCAGAGGGTGTGCAGAATGCTTAAAACATGTATTATGTCATTTCAACTTACTGATGCTGGTGTGAGGTCACGACTTTTAAAAAAAATCTCCAGGTTCCAGATACAGAAACCAAGGTCCAGAGAGGTCAAGTAACTTGCCCAAGATCACACAGCTGGAAGGGTGGGGTTTAAAGTCAGAGGTGCCTGACAGCAGGGGAAAGAGGGAGACTTTGGGGGTGCGGAGGGCTGTTCCCTGCCTCACTCTGGTATCCTCAGGCCCCAGTGGTTCACACCTGCTGTCCTGGGTGTGGGGCCCTCCCTTTTTCTGGACCGGCCCCCCTTCCCAGAACCCCAGGCGTTGGAACATTCTAGGACTCTATGACCTGTGTTGGTGGGTCATGCCGGAGCCTTGACCCCAAGCTGCCGGGGCCTGTCCGAGGTGGGGGCTCCCAGGACTCGCGGTCCTCCCTGGCCGCGGCCGCAGCTGAGAGAAGGGTCAGGAGGTACTATGTCACTTCCTCCAGGGAGCCAGCTGGCTGCCTCCCCTCCCAGCCAGACGGAGCTGAGTCCTGAAAGGGGAGTGTGTAGGAGGCTGAGGGGCCACGTGGAGGGAGCTGGTTGGTCCTCTTGGGGGGCAGAGGTGGGCCTGACCCCCCAGGAATCAGGCCTGGCTCTCAGGCGGTTTGGGTTGGGGCAGAGGGGTGCTGCTGGGCGATGCAGGTTGAAAGCTGGTGCCCTGGGCCGCATAAATGCCTGCAGATCAGGAAAGCCAGGGCGGTGGCGGGGGTTGGGAAACCTAGGTGGAAACCTTGCTTGCGGGGGCAAAGCTCTGGGATGTTTAAAAGATAGCTTGTGTTTTAAATGTGAAAACCTCGTGTGAACCTCGCAGAACCCAGTGGAGCTGCTCCTGCCCTACCACGCCCTGTGAATGGGTGGGGGGTGACATCCTGGGAATGAAGGGGGTCTGACATCTGAGTCAGGCTCCTCTCCTTCCTGGGGCCGGGGGGCCTGCACCCCCAACACCAACCCTGAGCAGGTGCTGTGTGACGCCCACCCAGCTGCACCAGTGTGCAGCTGATCCCAGACAGTGGAAAGGACGCAGCCACGGCCCTTTGGCTCCTGGTCTTTGGCTCTTTCTTCATGGCCTTGAGCCAAGGCCACCAGCGAGTTGGGTACAGCGGCCACGTGCTGCTCTAAAGTCCTCTCTCTCCAGCTGGGTCTGCCCCTGGCCTCTGATGTGTGTTAGGGGTCACAGAGGGAATTCCATTTCTCAGCAGCAATCGGAGACTTGGGCTGGGTGGAAGTGAACTTCAAGGCCTGGATCTGAGTCAGGGGCCTGGTGGCTGAAGATGCTGCCTTTGAAATGCTCCTGCCCACTCCCCCTGTGCCCCGGGTTTCCTCCTGGATGCAGACTTAACTTGGGGTCCAAGCCCTTTTTGATTTGTGTCCCAGACTTTCCTGAAGGAGCACCAAGTGTGGGTCCCTTTTTTGCTTCCCTTTCCCCATAGTGCCCGGCACTTAACAGGGGTTGGGAAAGGTTTGATGAATGGCTGGAGTCCTCATCCAGGCAGCTGGCACTGATCCTGCCTGTTCTGTCTGCCTCCTTCCCTCTCTCCTTCCTTTTTCTCTCTCTCCCTCCCTCTCTTTCATAAGAATTTACCAAGTGCCTGAGTGTTCCAGGGCTTCCCGACTGGCGCTAGTGGTAAAGAACCCGCCTGCCTGTGCAGGTGATGTAAGAGTCTTGGGTTCATTCCCTGGGTCGGGAAGATCCCCTGGAGAAGGGAATAGCTACCCACTCCAGTATTCTTGCTGGGGAATCCCATGGACAGAGGAGCCTGGTGGGCTACAGTCCATAGGGTTGCAAAGAGTCGGACACGACTGAAGCAGCTTAGCTCGCATGCACGCCGAGTGTGCCAGAACCTGTGCTGTGGGTCCTGGGGACAAAGAGGGGGCCAGTGGTGTCCTCGCGGCATTTCCGTGCGGAGCTGTCACAGAGGGAGGTGCATGGCTGCAACAGGAACGCAGACCAGGCACCTGCCCTGACTGGGACGAGCCGGCGCGTTTCTGGAGCAGGTGACTTCCATGCTGAGTGAGCCTGGAGCGTGCATTCCACAGCCAGAGGAGTATTCGAGTCTCAGATGGCAGACTGTCGGGCGTGAGTGTGGGGAGGCATCTGGAGAGCCCCCCTAGGAGGCGTGAGTCCCTGAGAGGCCCCCGTCTCTCTCCAGGTCAGCCATGTCATCTGAGCCTCCTCCTCCATCCCAGCCCCCCACCCATCAGTCCTCGGCCGGGCTGCTGGACACCCAACAGGCCCGGGATCGCTCACCATCCCCGCTACGGGGCAACGTGGTGCCGAGCCCACTGCCCACTCGGCGCACCAGGACCTTCTCAGCGTGAGTCTTGGGCTTCTCCAGACAGGTCGCCTCCACGTCCCTGTCTATCACATGGGAAACTTGGGGATTGGGAAAGGGCTGATGGTGGGAAGCTGGGCAGGCGCCTCATAAACCCTGTACCGTGCCACCCCCAGGCCCCTCTTGAGCCTGTCGTGAGCTGCGGGTGAGGGATGAGGGCAGCCAGGGATGGGAAATCGCTGGGGTCTTAGATCATCGGGCTTTAACCACACACAAGCCCCTTTTCCCCGGGAGCCCTTGACCTCATCAGCTGCAAAACGGGGACAGTAGCAGCATGGCCACTGTACTGCAGGGGACCCACACGGTGCCTGGCAGGTGTAGAGCTCAGGCCAACATGTGGAGGCTGCTGCTACGTTAGCCTTCAGAGGGAGGGATGCTCAGGGGGATTTTACTCACACGGGGAAGCTGAGGCCTGAAAAAGTTTGCAGCGTCATGCAGAGAGTCACTGTCACCGGGTTCTCAGCGAATGGCTCCCGGAGTTGTGGGAGTTGTGCAGTGCATAACCTGTACAACTGTACATGGTGACCCTGCCCAGAATGCCCTGAGGACAGCTGCGGGTGGGAACTGGGAAGAGCTGGGTGTGCCCCTGAGAGCAGGGGGCTGTCCTAGAGGGCTGGTGGGGGCCCCTCATGCTCTCCCTGCCTTCTGTCAGGACGGTGCGGGCTTCCCAGGGCCCAGTCTACAAAGGAGTCTGCAAATGCTTCTGTCGGTCCAAGGGCCACGGCTTCATCACCCCGGCTGACGGCGGCCCTGACATCTTCCTGCATATCTCCGAGTGAGTCAGCGGTTGATCGGGGTGCTCTGGGGCTTGGGTGGGCACTGTGGCCTGGAGGAGGCAGGGGGAGTGTGTGAACTCTGCTGGGTGGGTGCCAAGTGTGATGAGGTTGTGTGGGCCAGGCTTGTGTGACAGTGTTCAGGGCTGGGGGTGTGAGCCTGTACGTGGTGGTGGCAGTGTGTGAGACACTGCAGGTGACTGTGTGTGGGTGTGCACACGTGTGTGTCTGTGTGTGTGCATATGTCTGCGCACATGTGTCTCTCTGTGTGTGTCTCACTTGTGTGTGTCTCTGCATATGTCTGTGCGTGTGTGTCTCTGTGTGTGTGTGTCTGTGTATGTCTCCATGTGCATATGTCTGTGTGTGTGTGTCTGTGTGTGTGTGTGTCTCTGTGTGTGTGTGTCTCTGTGTGTGTGTGCATGTGAGTTCAGAACCTTCTTTGGGCTTTCCTGATAGTTCAGCTGGTAAAGAATCTGCCTGCAATGCAGGAGACCTGGGTTTGACCCCTGGGTTGGGAAGATCCTCTGGAGAAGGGAAAGGCTACCCACTCCAGTATTCTGGCCTGGAGAGTTCCATGGACTATAGTCCATGGGGTCGCAAAGAGTCGGACACGACTGAGCGGCTTTCACTTTCACTTTGGGGTGGGTCTGAGTGCCCGCGTGTGTCTGGTGGGCAGGCACGGGTGTCCCTGTGAGTCTTGTGAGCCTGTGTTTGGCCTGGGGGTGGGTGCCTGCACTCCCCCAGGGACCCTGCCTTGGTGAGGCTGGGGGCTGACTGAACTCTGCTCCAGGAAGGAAGTGTGGGGCTGGACCCTCTCTCCTGCCACTTGCTCACTGACGTCCTTCCTTCCTGAGTGTCTGGAAACCCTGGCGGGAAGAGGAGGGAGGGGGTGCCCAGGGTGGGGCCCACACATCCTTGGCCTTCGGGCTGGAGGGCGCCCTGCAGGCTGGGCACCACCTCTGGTCTTCGAAGCAGCTTGCAGAATTGTGGGGACCTGATCGGCCCCCCTACCCCATCCCCATCTTTGACCTCAGCAACCCCCAGTCTTTTTGTTGGTGGCAGGTAAGGTACCCCACACAGCAGGCCTGACAATATGTAGAAACCATGTTTTGAAATTAGGCTCCTTTTGCAAATGTCTGTTGAGATGGGATGCTTTCTTCCTCTCCTCCAACATCCCTACACGCCTGGTCTTCACAGACCCGCTGTACAGTGTAGACATGAGGACAGTGCTAAAGCAATGCCTCACTTTTACTCCTGAGCTTCCTGGTGGTCACCGCAAAGAGGGCAGGGAGATTTGCAATGTGATTCTTCAGTCAAGGCCATATAGTCCCAGGGGAGAGCTGGCTGGACTTGGCCTGAAGGATCCGAAGGGGATATTTCCCCTGGGGTGGGGGTGTTGAGTAAAGCCAAGGTGGCATCAAGATGGGGACCTCCTCATCCTGGATGAGATGGTGACTCATGTCCTGTAGAAAGAGAGGGAAAAGGACTTTCTGGAAAGCTCTGTGGGATTCTAAGGCGCTGAACAACAGAAACCAGAAACCAGGTGCAGCCTGGTTTCCAAGACTCCTGGACCAGGCGGGGGGTTGGGCTGCTGCTCAGGAAACCCCCTCGGGGTCATCCTCCAACTCTGATTCTCAGGCTCAAGACTTTCTCTCCTGGCTCTTCTATTCATAAGCCCCAAGGTGCCCACGTGTAACTGCCCTGAGAGCATCCCTGGGGGCGGGGCTCCATCTTCTGTTTCCGCAGCCGAGGTCCCGGGAAAGGAGCTGATTGGGTCAGGGGACCCTCAGTCCCCTCAGGCGTCTGGCTTCTCCCTATGTCAGCCCTGAATGTCTCTCCTCGCCCCGCAGCGTGGAGGGGGAGTACGTCCCCATGGAAGGCGACGAAGTCACCTATAAGATGTGCTCCATCCCGCCCAAGAACGAGAAGCTGCAGGCCGTGGAGGTGGTCATCACCCACCTGGCGCCGGGCACCAAACACGAGACCTGGTCCGGCCACGTCGTCAGTTCCTAGGAGTGGCCGGAGGCACCCTGGCCCACCCCCCCCACCCCCCGGGCTCTGGGGAGACCCCCGGGGCAGGAGGAGGCAGGACCAGACGGGAGAGGACAACTGTGCCGCTTGAGATGGGGCATCCGAAAGGGGGGGGGAGCGTGGTCCCTGTTAAGAGTCTCCTGGAGGAAGGGGTTAGAGATGGGGGCAGGCACGGGGGTGCCCTCGGCCACCAGCATAGCCTCCGACCACCGCAACCAACATCTCACCATCTGAAAAACATTAAAAGCATTGAAAAAGGAGAGGCGCTCCCTGGTGGCTGAGTGGAGAGTCTGAGCCCCACCCAGGGGCTGGGTCGGGCGGCTTCCCTGGCCCGCAGTCCCTCCCACGCCCCCGCCCCCAAAACAGATCCTTAAGGCTTTCCTTTGGTGTGGCTTGGTTCAGCTTTAGTTGTAATTTAAAAATAGAAATAGCTGAGAAATATGGGGAAAACATATTTCACAGGTCTTGAGATATGTGGCCACACCCATGAAATTTGTATTCAAGGGTCTATTTGGCAACGCAGGGAGGTGAGCCCTTGAAAGATGGTGGGGCCTCATCCAGTGTCTTAAAATCTGAATTTCTGCAAGGGGGTCAGAGGCCAGAGCTATTTTGCTGAGGACCAATGGGGTTGTGTGTGTTTTTTTCCAGGTATAACTAATCTACAACACAATGTTAGTTCGCTGTGCACAACACAGCGATTTGGTATTTCCATACATCATGAAATGGCCACCGGAGTTGTTTTTAAGTAGGCGAATAAGTATTGGTTACAAGTGTGTGGTGAAACATCACAGTTAAGGAAGTTGATCTTTTTTCCCAGCCTGTCGTGTCCTGTTGAAGGGTCCTGCCCACTCTGCCTTCTGCTGGTCTGCAGTGGCCGTCTCCCCTGCAGCCTTGGACGGTCCCCAGGTGGTCCCCGGAGACCCCTGTCGGGTATGGACCACACTTCGAGTGAAGTCATGTCCCTCAAGACCCATCCTTGAGGTTGAGAGTCTGCGTCTTTGCCACCCGCTTCCCCAGGTGACCCCACTGCCTTGTCCTCACCGTGGTACATGGTTGGGGCTCCACGTGACCCCACCAGCCTGCTAGTGGGCTGGAAGTCAGATCTGCTCCTCCAGGTGGGTGACCTGTGGGTCCTCTCGCTGGGGGAGACTCCTTTGTAAACGCTCCATTCTTCCTGGGTGATTACATCTTTGTGTCGTGAGGGCTGGAAGAGACCTCTCCCCACTCAAAGCACAATCTTTTGAGTTATCCCAGAGGCTCTGGGAGGACAGATGGTGTTGGCGACTGAGCTGGGGACAGAACCGAACTCCTGACTCCAGGTCTTCCCTCTCACCAGCACTTTTCTCAATAAACTGTTTTGCTGGAGGAGAGTCTGGCGTTCTGAGTTAAGGTGGAATCTGGCTGCAGGGAGTTCTTCCTTGAAGCCAGCAGGTGGGGGGCGGTGGGGATGGGGGAGGCACGTCTCCCCAAAGGAGGCTGATACAGCCATTCAGTCTTTTTCTGGGGGGATGAGTAAGAAAATGGGATCATCCATGCCCTGTTTCTTAATCAGTACCCTCACATATAGGTGAGCTGAGCAAAGGGATGCGGCTTTGTGATGACAGAAAATGCCACTTGGTTGGCCTGCTATGAAGTGCCCTGTTGATGCAGACAGGGGAGGCGGCCCAGGTTTAGGGTTTCCAAGGGCGTGGGGGGGGAATGCAGGGGGGCAGGAGAGGCTGGGGAGGTGGGTGATGACTTTGGGGTGGTGCGCAGGTGAACATCTTTAACGTAAGAGCATACTGATGGTCAGAGCACATTAGGAAAAATTATAACCAGCCCATCGAACCCATTCAGGGGGAGGCTGAAGCCAGCATTTAGCATGAGGGAGGGTTCGGTGGAAGCCGGGACGCAGGGGGCAGGAGGAGCTGCAGAAAGGGGTGTTGGCATCTGCGGAGGGCGGGCAGATGTGGAGGCTGAGGGGGCCCTGCCTGGGGAGGAAAGAAGCCCCGGGAGAGGAAGTGATTCTGGGCCACCGAGGCCTCCTCACCTCACCCAGTCGCACCCAGAATCCAGACGTCTGCCCGACTGGTTCTTCGGCTGGGCCTCCAGTCACTCCTTCCCCGGGAGCTGGACAGACCTGCAGGAGTCATGCAGATCCCTCCCTANGCTGGGCCTCCAGTCACTCCTTGCCCGGGAGCTGGACAGACCTGCAGGAGTCATGCAGATCCCTCCCTAGGGGTCAAGTTCAAGCTCCTCACCGAGGTTCTTAAGGGCCTTCCTGGCGGCCAGTAGCTGGTGGCGTGGTCTCCCCCTGAGGTTTCCTATGCCCTTTGAGCCCAGGTCAGCTTCCAGAGTGCTGGGGGAGGGGGCGGGGGGTGCTGGGGAAGGGGAAGAGGGAGGCGGGAAGCTTTCTTAACAGCCCCAGGCTGACCTGGGATGACCTCCCTGCTTCCCTCTTGCTCAACACTGAGCTACTGTATTTACATTTCTTGTGACAGCCTCTACCGTCCTGGAACCTCAAAGGCAGGGAGGGACTTGCCCTCGCCTGTCAGGGTTCACAGTCCTGCCTCACAGGGTTTTCTCATCATCATTCTGGGGATGATGAAGTGAGTGATGGCTCCCACTCTTCCAAGCGCTCCCCTGAAAAGTCAGTTTGGTTGTTATGTGTGCGGTGAGGACTATAATCCCATCTGAGCATCCATGCTCAGTCGTGTCTGACTCTTTGCTATCCTTTGGACTGTAGCCCGCCAGGCTTCTCTGTCCATGGGATTCTCCCAGCAAGAATGCTAGAATGAGTAGCCATTCCCTTGTCCAGGGGATCTTCCAGGCCCAGGGATCGAACCCAGGTCTCCTGCATTGCAGGCAGATTCTTTACCATCTGAGCCACCTGGGAGAATGTCTAGAGAAAGAAGAGATGGATGACATGACTGGGGGAGCTTGGGCCGGGCTTGACCTGGGATAAGACTACAGAAGCCGGAGAAGGATGGTGGGAAGTCCGAAGTCGTTTGGGCAACAGGACTGCGGGGTGGGGGTGGGGCTGGCCTTGGGGACCTGCCCAGGGGAGCTCCAAGGAGGCCAGAGAAACAGCACACCCTCCACCTCATAAGGGTTGGGACAGTCTGAGTAAGGTAAGACTCAACTGTTTTATGTTTTGACATAAGAAGTTATGGGACTTGTACGGACCACTGGATACTAACCCAGAGGACAGAGAAGCGTGGAGGGAAGGTCTCCGCCAGTTGCAAGTACCATCCTGCAACATCGTGGAAACCGCTGCGTCGAAAAGAGCGACTCTCGGGTCCCAAAGGGCTGAGCTCTTCCGCCAGAATCTGAGTAGGCACTGGTTCACTGAACCACCCGAGGACAAAACAGTAATCTCAATGAGAAATGGGAACCAATAAAATCACTTTAATTTCTACTTTTCATTTTGAAAGATCATTACAGTATCATTTGTAAAATCCAGCCAGGAAAGACGCCCCAGAACTGCTGAGGCCTGGGACCACTGAGACGGTCACCCTAGCACTGACCACGGGCGGGCGGGTGGGGGACGAGCTCCAGCCTGGTGCTGGACTAAGACAAGCCAGGCTGGGGAGAGGCTCGGGAGGAACCAGGTTCCTCTGTGATGAAGGCACCTGGTGGGGACCAACTAGTGGGGTGCCAGAACACCCCTCTCCAGTTCCCCCACCCCCAGATTCAGGTTCAGGTCTGCGAGTCCCCAGCAGAGGTCCCGCCTGGACTGACCCCACCCTGGTCTGGAGGGACCAAAGCTGAAAAGTGATGTGTGAACCGTTTTCTTGGAAAGCTTGAGTCGGTGCTCTGGATGAGGGCCTGAGCTGCCGTCCTTCCAGCCACACAGGAACTTGCAGGAGGCAGGAGGGAGCAGGGGAGTGAGGGTTACAGGCCTGACAGCTGCTCCAGTCCCGGGGTCAAAGTCTGGGTGAGGGAGGGCTGGCAGGGGTGTGGGGGTTGTGGAGGTGGGGCGGGCTCATTATTCAAAGACCAAAGACCGGCTCCAGATCTGTTAGCAGCTTAGGCCCTTCCCTGATCCCTCAGGAGGCGGCCCTTCGTGTGAAGTGTGATGGCCCCGGCACTCGCAGGGCCGGGGCTCAGAGCAGCATCTCGGGGCGGCCTGTGTGCCAGTTCTTGGCAGGGCTGTTGGTTCCACCACCCGTGTCCCCGGAGCCAGCGGGCACTTCAGCGTGTAGTGGATACAGAGCTACCCCGAGTCCTCCGCCAGTGACGTGCGAAGTCCCAGTGGTCAGTGGTCACTGGGCCGGCGCAGACACTCATGGGCTTCGTTTCTGGAATTGTCTTAACCGTCTGTGCTGGGCTCGGTTCATCATAAATGTCCTTTCTCATCACAAGAGCCCCCCTTCCGGTGCTGATGCAGGGGATCCCGGCATGAACATCTGTTACATTTTCCATGAGGCCCATGAAGAGGGAGGGTCCAGGTTCACTCCTTTCATTCTCTCTGGATCATTCTAGAATGATGGGGGAAGTTTAAAAACAAAACCCCCGGGGGCACCGTGACTGCACGTATCGGGATGGAGTGGGGGTGGTTGGAGACTAGGGTGGGGATGTGACTCTCTGCTGGAGGTGGTCCTTGGAACCGTTGTTGAGAGGCCTTTTCCTCTGGTCCTGGAAACGGAGGGCCATTTCCCTGCCTAGCGGGGACCGTAGTGAGGACTGCAGGGTGGGCTGGGGGGGGGACCGCCTCCCACGGGGAGCAGGCCGGTCAGCAGAAAAGCTCCTCGCATATCCTGCGCGTGTCCTCGGGCGCCGTCACCGTGTAGCCCACCGTCCTGGGGTCTGTGAAGATCTCGTGGTCATTCCCGCCCTGTAAAGACATGAGGTGGATGCAGGCACCACCTGGTTTGTCCTGGGCCGAGGCCCCTGCCACGCCAGGGCCTGGGACCACCAGAGAAATGAGGACCCTGCGTTTCACTGGGAGCATCTCTGCAGCTACCGTTCCAGGAGAGGAACAACCTGGTACAGTTGCGACCGAGGTTTTTCACCTTCCCTTGAACTGCCTTCAGCTTAGGAACATGTAATTACGCCTGTGCAAGCAATCACGATGTTCCTGAAGACCTAAGGCTTATTTTTCTATCAAGAAAGCAGGCAGAGCAGGTGACAGGAGTCTCGCCGCCGTCGATTTGCTGTAACCGCACCCATATGTTCCTAACAGGTCACAGGGGAAGGCAGACGGGCCAGAGCTGCGCTGCCCTTGAACCTCCTGGGACGATGGACACGGTCCATTTCTGAGCTGACGCTGGCCATGCATGTGGCTGGCCTGACAGAGGGGCTGAGTGTGGTTTATTAAGCTTCAACAGGCTCACGTGGCTGGAGCCCGAGCCTGCTGACCTGGGCTCAGATCCTGGTTCTAGCACCAGTGACAGGGGTGCTGCAGGTGGCTCCCCGTCTGTGAAGGGGGGATCGTGGCGGAACCCTGCCTGAGGCGGGGAGGCCCCTGGTGGATGAGCAGTCCTGGGGCAGCCCCTGGGCTCAGCGAGCATGGGGCCCTAGGTTTTCTTGCTTCCCTCGCCCACTATGCCCCCAGGAGTTGAGGGCATGTGTCTGGAGGACCCGGGCATGCTGGGCGGAGGGGGTCCATGACTATGATACCCCCCCAGAGCCAGCGCCGAAACCCCCTCCGCAGTCACACCTGTCTCAGGGAAATGCTGCTTCCACAACCCCCGGCCCTGCCCCTGCTTTCCATCTCATGGAAATTCCTACACTTTCCTTGTAATGGTGGATAAGCAGCCTAACTCAAAAATCTTTAAAAAAAAAATCTGACAACCTTTTAAACGACTGACACCTGAAATTACAGCTGCTCTCATCTTTGTAAGAACTAGCCACCCCCAAGCAGAAGGCGGAGGTGGTGAGGCTCACAGACCCACGTGGGTTGGCTACCGGGGCCTGGGTGGAGCCGCGTTGGGGCAGGTGCATTCCCAGAAGCTGGCCGGGCCTTACGTGGGCCTCACCAATTTATGTGCCGTGAGAGGACTCTGGTCATTCAGTCAGCTCCCACTTCACGGCCAACGTCTCCTAAACAAATACATGTGTGGGACTTCCCTGGTGGTCCAGTGGCTAAGACCCCATGCTCCCAAAGCAGGGGGCCCGAGGTTTGATCCCCGGTCAGGGAACTAGATCCCACAGGCCTCAACTAAGGATGCCGAGTGTCACAACTAAGACCTGGTGCAGCCAAATAAATAGACGAATAAATATTTAAAAAACAAAACAACAAAACAAGTACGTGTGAAACCAACTCTTGCGAGCAAACGCAAGACTCCTCTTAGGCCCGCCCGGGCGTGGGGAAACCAGCAGGGCGCCCAGCAACAGCTGACGACAGAGGGAGACCCAGCGCGGCCCTATGCAGACACCCAGCCTCCCGGAGACACGCTCACCGCGGTGTCACTCACGCACCCTCGAGGGAGGGCTGAGTTTTCATGGGCAGACCATCAAACCGCGGGCAGCGCCCACTACCCACCAGGCCCGGGCTCAGAAGCTGGAGGGACAGTGGTAACGTCCACCGACGGGCTGCCTTCCAGGCTGGTCTCCGAGACCGACCCAGACGGCTCCGCGGGCGGCTGTGAGGGATGCAGGGGGGGCCTCTGCTCCGAGGACCGAAGGAAGGGAGGCGACGGAGAAGACAGTGACCGCCCATCTGGGAAAGGCTGCCGCTGAGAACCCACTGGGAGGGGCCAGGCCGGGAGGACGGGGTCCACGCCAAGCCTCCGGGGAGCCAGGCTTCACATGGTCAGGTTCACGTCGCGAGGGTTCTTCTGGAGAACGGCTGGGGGCGGGGAGTGAGGACTCCAACGGAGGAGCAGGAGTCAGGAGGAGCCTGCCACCAGCCAGGGTGCAAGGCTGACGGAAGACTACCTGGGCAGCAGGACCTCTGGGGCAACCAGGCTCAGGGCCGCCACGCCCGCTCCCCTGGGGAGGGCGTCCCTTTCGGGGACAGCTGGGTGCCCCCAGAGCCTCACTTGGCACGGCCACCCTCCCCGCCCCCCATGGCCGGGGGAGGAGGAGCGGGCAGGTAGGGGAGCTGTCTCTGGACCGGAGTCAGCCCCACTGCGGTATAAGCCACTGGCTTGCAACGAAGCCAAGGTCCAGAGATTCAGATCTTCCGTGAAAGCGGAACCGCCTGCAGGCTTCTCCCGCCAGCAACCTGGCCTCAGAGCGAGGCGGGCTCCTCCAGGGCGGCACAGACCTTGCCAGCCAGACTCGGAAGGAGGGCGGGAGAAGCAGAACCCAAACACCGAGTTACTGAGGGCACCGCCCTCGAGAAAAATAGGCTTCGGTAGTAACACTTCGGAGGACAGGAAATGGTGGAAATTTCAAAACTGGATTTACATATGCACCGCTGTTACCGGCCTCAGCCTCCCCCAAGCGCCAGAACAAAGCTCTGGTTTCCCGGGAGAAGAGGGAGGGAGGGGGCGGAAGGATGAATAAGCAGTCGTATTTCCGTTGGGGTGAACCTGGCTGGCCCTAAGGAGAGGCCCCGGCTCGGTCCAGGTCGCCCATTAATATTTAATCCCCGAGAGGCCAAGGTCTGGGCTGCAGGGGAGAGGGTTCCAGTGAAACCTGATTATCCTGACGCTGGAGAAGAAAGGGAGCAGGGCTCAGGGTCCCCGACCTGGGTTCCCGCGAGCGACAGACTCGACGTGACTCCCAGGGGGTCTGGGCTGCGTGGACACCCGTCACCGCATAGCCGGGCTCTGCGGCTGCACGTGGATGCTTACCCCGGGGAGTGCAACAGGCGCTTGGCAAGTCCCTACTTGTTAGGGGTACAAAGGCCTCCGAGACCAGGGCTCGGCCCAGAGCAGGGACTCGCCCCCTGGCGGCGGGTGACAACCACTGCAGGAGCTTTAAAAATTCGTCAGTAAAACTGGGAAAGAACAAAAGATGGGGGGCCAGAGGCCTGGGTACCTGAGAGCTCCCACCTCAGGGCATCTCCAGCCACCTGAGGGCCAGGCGCCCGGGGCTCGGGCAGCAGGCCATGGGTCTGGGGGCTCCCCACCTAACTGCCACGTGTGCTGTTGTCCTGGTGTGAGGACTAGCTGCGGGTGAGAGCAATCTCACTTTCCCGACAAAGGTCCATCTAGTCTATAGTTTTTCCAGTGGTCATGTATGGATGTGAGAGTTGGACTATAAAGAAAGCTGAGTGCTGAAGAATTGATGCTTTTGAACTGTGGTGTTGGAGAAGACTCTTGAGAGTCCCTTGGACAGCAAGGAGATCCAACCAGTCCATCCTAAAGGAAATCAGTCCTGAATATTCATTGGAAGGACTGATGCTGAAGCTGAAACTCCAACACTTTGGCCACCTGATGCGAAGAACTGACTTATTGGAAAAGACCCTGATGCTGGGAAAGATTGAAGGAAAGAGGAGAAGGGGACAGCAGAGGATGAGATTGTTGGATGACATCACCGAAGTGATGGATATGAGTTTGAGTAGGCTCTGGGAGTTGGTGATGGACAGGGAAACTTGGAGTGCTGTAGTCCATGGGATCGCAAAGAGTCGGACACAACTGAGCGACTGAACTGAACTTACTAAGAGCATAAATTTAAAGCAGCATTAATTGGGGACCTCCCCTGGTGGTCTAGTGGTTAAGAATCCACTTTCCTATGCAGCGAACTTGGGTTTTCAGGTTTGGTTCCTGGTCTGGGAACTAAGATCCCATATGCCATGGGGCATCTAAGCCCACACTCCACAACTAGAGAAAGCCTGTGCACCACAATAAAGAATCTGCATGTTTCAATGAAGACCTGTTGCAGCCACAAAAAATAAATAAAATTTAATTTAAAAGAAAATTCAAAAATAAGCAGCACTATTCACAGATAAATATCTGGAAATAAGAAAACTGAATAAACTATATAGATATATATACACACACACACACTCACACGCGCGCACACACACACACATGCACACACACACACGCACACACACTGGCAAAGACTCCTGACCAAACTTCAGTTAGATTCCTCAAGACATCTTCTCTACTAAGCTCCAAGTTTGGCATCCATCCTCATCAGATCTGCATCACCCAGATCTGACAAGAATAGATTCTGTAGCGAGAATCTTGCTAAACTCCAATGTGCCTCCAGGGCCGAGAACCAGTGGTTTCAGATCTAGTGATGACCAGGTGGCTCAGTGGTAAAGAACCCACCTGCCAACACAGAAGATGCAAGAGACGTGGGTTCGATCCCTGCATCAGGAAGGCCCTCTGGAGGAGGAAACGGCAACCTAGTCCAGTATTCCTGCCTGGAAAATCCCATGGACAGAGGAGCCTGGTGGGCTACAGTCCATGGGGTCACAGAGTCGGACACGACTGAGCAACAGAACATGCACACATGAGATGACCAGGCCAGGGGTGGTGGAAAGCGAGCTGGCTGTTGGGCTGAAGCCCCTGGGTGACTGACCCTTCTGATCTGCTGATGGCTCTGGCATATCCCACCGCTGATCCATAAAACGGGGTTCAGAGCTGTGAGGGGTCCTGGCTCAGGAAGCTGATGCTGTGAACACCAGTGCCCCCTGGGGGCCCGCTCTCCCTGAGCAGGAACGCTGGGGCGGGCGGGGGCCACTGCTGCCTCAGGCCTGGTCCAGTCAGCCACCATCTGGTCCTCTGGACCCAGGAGGCCGTGGATTCTCGTGTCTGGAAGGAAGGTGGGTCCCCGGTGGACACCCGGAATCCATGGCTCCTCCGAACCCCATTCTAGCATCTGCTTCTCTCAGCGGGGGCACAGGGGTCTTCTCGGCTGGGCTGAGACCCTCTAATCTGGTCCAGCCTCCGGGGGCTCCGGTCACCCTGCTAACAAAGCCTGCCACCAGCC